TGCCAGGGCCCCACAGGATGGGGGCAGGAGTGCAGATGTGCAGCCAGGGGAAGTCAGCCACAAGTGAGAAACAGCTCTTGTCTTTCTTCCCAGTCAGGGTTCAGGGCTGGGGAGAGACAACACCACAAATAAAGGSTGCTGGGCAGTTGGGGTTTGCCTGYRGGGAAGCTCAAGGTCTGTGCAAAGCTGGCAGATYTGCAGAAGGGGATTTCACAGAGTGCTAAGGAGTAAAACCCCCTATTGCAATGCACAAGTACAAGGAAGAGCCCTGGCTGGGCTCAGCGCTTAGCTCAGATCCCAGGATGATCCGGGAGTGGGGTGCTGCCTGTGCTCCCACTTGGAGAGCACAAAGGTTACCTTTTGGTGGCCCTCAGCAGCCTTTTGGCATCCTTGCCTCAGGTTGTTGCCCAGGCAGAAAGCCCAGGGCAGCTGCAGGTCCTCCCTGAGCACTGGGCAGCTCCAGGGCCACTCAGATCCTTCCCTGGCAGATCCCAGCCCTGCCCAGACCTGAGTGCCCAGCACTGACTGTTCACAGTGGAGGCACCCTTTGTCTGCAGGTTTTGCTAAGGATAAGATTTCATGGGCTGTCAGGGCACGGGCTGCTGGGCTCCCAGGGTACTTGCCATGTGAGATCTCTGGGGAATGCCAAGATGGCTCTTGTTGGCTGGGGCAGAGGCAGGGAACTGCTTCACCAGCGCTCTGGAGAGATGAGTCTTGCCTGGGGTGGGAGCAGGCAGGGAAGCCAGCTTGTGCTGGGAGGCCTGCAGCATCCCATTATTTCTGTTCTGTCCTCCTTCATGGATTGATTACACCAGAACTGTAAATCTTGCCCAAAGTGTGCCCTCTCCCCACCCTGCTCTTCTGGCTCGCTGGCATCACACTGTTCCTCTGCATTTCTGAGCAGCAGCAGCATCTGTCTCCATGCTCTGTCAAAATCAACATGAGGGCAAAGGGAAAAAAAACAGAGTTAAAACTAAGGTACCAAAGAGTTAACATTTTTCTAGGTTTACAGTTGTATTTGTAGTATTTGTACTATGTCACATTTATAGCCATGAGATATTATTTTTATGCCRTAAACTTTTACAAATACTGTTTTTAAAGAAAGAGTTTAAAAATAAAGGYGTTTTTCATTTTGCAAAGTTCCAGCTCTTCCTTCATTTGCCTGCTTTTGGTGGCTCCCTCTCAGATGGGGCTGGGACCAGAGCTTAACCCTGTGTTGGGTGAAGGCTAAGCATGTTAATACTCTGTGCATGACCCCAGTGCTTAGTGCAAGCCAAGCTGGGAGCCAGGCAGGGAGAAACACTGCACGGAGCAGCTGAGCCCACAAATAGGGTAAGGAAAAGGGGCAGGATCTGCCCCATCTCTCTGGTAACTGTGCAGCTTGTGGGTCATGGGGAGAGCGAAGGATTCCAGGAGCTGTTCCCATGGATTTCCCCACTGCCTGGGGTTTGGGTCCCAGGTGAGGATTTGGCTCCTTGGAGCGTTGCTGGGTCAGTGTTCAGATCAGGGTGGGATGCAGGAGAAATGGCAAACGGAGCAGGGGCTGGGCTGAAGSAGATGGCAGACAGCACAGCACTGATTTTTCCACACAGTTTAATAGCTCAGGGCAGTGGSAGGGCCGGGAGGCAGCAGCAAGAACTATTCTGCAGCTCCCCATGTCCAGCTCGCCTCCCTTCCCTCCAGAATGAGGAATTTGCTGACACCCTTAAAAGATGCCACTCCAAAATCCTCCTCACACCAGCACTCCCCCAGATCCACGTGTCCCTCTGCTCCCCTCATCTTTCCCCAGTCACCTTTTCCAGAGGCACTGAGGTCCCCCAGCCCCATGAGAGACAGGCACCACCTGAGTCTAGCCCCAAGTTTTCTCCTCTCTCTAGCTCAAATTTAACTGCTCCTCCAAAAACCTCCCCAAGCTGCAGAGCAGAGATATTTGCATCCTGAGCCACGTGCTTGCAAAGCCCAGGGCTGCTGCAAAGAGGGGTTTTGATGAGGTTCAAACAGCTCGGTGTTGACCCCGTTTTCTGGCTGTGTGATGCAGCCCCACTGGACACAGTGGTGCCTCCCTCAGCTCCTGGAATCCCTGTGTGCCCAGAGCTGCAGGGCACAGACAGCAGCAGGTCCAAGTTCCAGCAAGGCTCCCCTTTCCAGCACAGCCTGTCCTGCGCTCCTGCCTTTGCTCATTTTTCCAGAGTGGAGCTTTGCAGCCTCCCTGACCAGCTCAGGCTGATTCTCCCCAGATATGCACTGAGTCACCTGGCACAGCTCAGTCCGGCCATTTTTCTCCAGGAGCTGAATCAGCACGGAGAAAAAAATCCCCTTTTCTCAAGAGAGGCTGCCYCAGAGGCTTGGGGGGAAGCAGAGAGGGGCATTGGTTCAGAGCTCAGCCCTGAACCCTGCAGGCTCTCACTGCCTGATCCCTGCCTCCCAGACCTTTTGCATGTCAGGATGCACTGGACAGGGGTCATGGGGCTGGAAATGAGCAGGAAGACATGAGGACACCCAGCAGGGCATTTTCCCCATCCCAAAACAAGTCTCCTCTCCAGTGATGAGAGAAGCAGCCSAAGGAAGTGCTCAGGGGAGCAGAGAAACTCAGAGTGGGGTGACAAAGCCTGCCCTGCAGCAGGAGGGGTGGTGGCTGTGGGGGACCTGCAGCTCAACACCAACAGGACACGGGTGTTCCATGGGTGTCCCCAAACTGCTGCAGGGCAGCTCAGGTGGGAGTGACACCACAGCCAGCTGTGCTCAGTGCTGGGGTSCCACAGGGTGCAATGGCCCAGCCCTGCTCCTGGCCCCAGAGACAACGATCCCCAGATCCCACCCAGGGCTCACAGCAGCCTCCATCCCCCTTCCACAGCCACTCTGCAGCCCACAGGCTGAGCCAGCCTCATCCCATCTTTCACAGCCATCAGGGCCTCCACAGACACCCCTGGGCTTCAAAGAAAGGCTGCAGCTCCTCTGAGAGCATCCCTGCCCCGTGCTCAGAGCTGCCTGGCCATTCTTGAGGCTGAGCTGCTGCTTGCACACACAGGATTTGGGGTGCAGCCTGCAGGCAGGGAGGGACACAAAAAGAGGGAGGGACCCCAAGCTTGTACCAGTGACCATCCCCAAGTGTGCCCAGTCCAAGTTGGGGACTCTTGTGTCCAAGTTGTCACCAGGGGATCACTGCCATCACAGATGGGGCCTCCTCAAAGAGAAGAAGGAGGGCTGATTGTTTCCCTTCTTCTATTAAACCTGTCTGGTTTAATACTTATTCACATTGGTGAGTCAGTTCTCTCTGAGCTGGCATTTGTTCCTGGAAAAAAAAACAAAAAAAAAACAAAAAAAAAAGGCTTAAAAGGAAGAAGGAGGGAAACAAACATGCTTTAAAAAGCCCCTTTGGCTCAAAAGGAGGAAAGAATAATCAAGCAGACATCTCCTGTGGCCCAGCTGCTTGACAGCCCCCTAGATCTGGCCAGGTTCCCCCCAGAGCACCATGCTGCCTCTAATTCATGTTCTTCTTCTCTGCATCCTGCCAGGAAAAACTGCTGARGGGAAACGTTCTATGGCCAAAAGCTGCCTTTGCTCCTCTCTGGACACCCCAGGCTGTCCAGCCATCCTTGTGGCCAAAGCCAAGAGCTCTCTCCATGTTCCCATGACTCTTAGTCATCTCCAGCACAGTCAGCCATGCTCTCATCCCTTGGCCCCAGGACTTTGTCTTGCTGGTACCTCTCTGACTGCCCCTTTGGAGAAGCCCCTTCCCCTCCAGCTGGTGGAGGCTCTCAGGGCACAGAGGTGCAGATCCATCAGCCCCCTCTGTGCAGRTGTTTTGGAGCAGTTTCTCTCCGCCCAGGTTTCACTGTGGTGCTCCTGTCACCTCCCTGCTGCTGGGGCTGCGCTTGGGGCAGTTGGCAGAGCTGGACCTTCCTCCCCGGGATCCTTCCCAGCCCTGTCAGGTCATGGCTGTCACTTCCCACCCCAGAGCTGCTGAGARCAGCCCTGAACTTCTGCTGCAGYSTGARGTTATCCCGAGACAGCAGAGCCARGGGYGCCCTGTGTGTGACTGCACCCTCARATCCTGCTCCCTGAGYRTCCCTGCAGAGCTGYTTGGCTYCAARCCTTCCCTCACCCCTGTTCTGGAAGAGCAACGGTCCAGTGGCGGGTTAACAAAGTGTCTAATTTATTAATTACTAGCACTGCTAATTAGCTAACTGCCTAATTACTGCTCCAAGGTGCCTGCCAGGCCGTCAATTACAGAGCAGCCCCAGCAGCAGGGCAGGATGGCTGGGTGGGATGGGCTCCAGGGGAGGAGGGGTCTGTGCTGGAGCCCTGGGGCTGCCTGGTGGTCACAGGGTCACTGTGAGCCCCAGGTTTGGAGGGGACAGAGCCGGGTCCCCCTGTGTCCCCCAGCCCTGCTGAGAGCCTGGAGGGTCAGCGTGCTGGACTCCAATGTCCCTCCCTGCCAGGGAGGGTGGTGAAGCTGGCACAGGGCTTGGGGATGATCCTGTGCGACCACAGGACCCCTCTCTGCASCAGGGATCACATTTTTGGTTAACACAGCATAATTTGGCATCTTCACAGGTTTTTTTCCCGCCTGGGAGCTGCCCCAGGTTGAATTGCCTTTGTGGGCAGGTTGTGAGGGATTCTGCCATGTTCTGGGAGGGTGCTCAGATCCCAAAACCAGCAAGAGCCACTGGGCCTGGGGTAAAACTTGTCCTGCTGGAATGAAATGGAATCCACTGTCTGCAAGTGTGCGAGCACTTTGTGTCCCCACGCAAGACAAAAGTGTGCACGAGTCCCTGGGCGTTGGAGTGGCAGCAGCCAGAGCTCTCAGGGATTATCCCAAASCCCAGCAAGGTGCAGTGGGGAGTGGTCTGGGGTTGGGATCCTCTCTGAGCCCTGAGGGGACCCCGGCATTGGGGGGACGGTGCAGAGGGGTGCGTGGTGGCCCCACCTCTGCCAGGGGGTTTGTCACTGGTGACGTCTCAAAGCATGGCCTGGTTTTTTCCCCTGTTTCAAAAACAAACAAAATAGGGAATTTGTTAACTTGTGGTCAGCTCAGAAAGGAGAAGCTCCCAACGAGGGAGTGCTGGGGACGGTGCCCACAAGGAGAGGCACCCACTGCTCGAGAGGATCCTTCTGCTGCATCGGCTCCACGCTGGGGACGCCACGCTCCCTGGGGACATGGGTCCTGCTCTCCTCCTGCTGCTCACCACAGCTGGCTTCTGGCCTGGTAGGTGCACTGAATCCCAAAGCCCCATATCCCTCCAGGGCAGTTTTGGGATGTGGTGAGGATTCCCTGGGTGTGTGGTGTGAGTGCTCTGTTCCTCCTCAGGTGAGGAGGGGTGATGGCCTTGGTGGGGACAGGGCTGTGCACTGAGAGCACTGAGCTCCCAGAGGTGGAGGGTGAAGCCAGGCTCCCAAAAGGCTGCTGTGGGCTGGGATGGTCCCTTTTTCTGGAGGCTGCTGCAGTGGACGCTTCTGTGGGCAGTTCAAGGATCCTTGGGGTGGGAAGGGAGAGCGTGTCTGCTCTGTGGCACTGAGGGGAAGAGACACCAGCATGGAGTTCAGCACAGGCTTGGCTGTAGCAGCTCTCTGAAGGTCACCCAGGGCTGGCTGCCACTGGAGAGGGAGGGCAGTGGTGCAAGGAGGGTGTGCTGCTGCTCTGTGTGGCTCTGGAGCCCGGCTTGCTCTTGGCTGAKGGAAGAACTGCCAGGGTGAGGCCAGTGAAGATGGAGAGGTGCACACAGCATGGGCAGAGCCTTGGCGGTGCGGAGATGGGAAACTTCCCACTCTTTGGGCCTGGGCAGCCTTTAGATTGAAGGAATGGTTCAGCAGAAACTGTCCTGAGGAAAGCTGTCTCCAAAATAAMACTTTGCTCACATGGGGAAGGAGCTGGAGATGTTTGGTCTGTGGGTGAAGGAGTCAGGAAAATCAGCTTCACTGGCAGCTTCCAGAGCACCTCATGCCCAGTTGGAGTGTCTGAGTATTGCTGGTTTCTTGTGGTGCTGGCACACACAACAGGACTGTGGAGCCAGGATGGGATGGAAACAGAGCTCAGGCAGCCAAGAAGGGAAAGGTGAACAYGCCTGCTTTTTGAGGCTGCACAGATGGCCAAGAGGTGATAACCCACCAACCTCAGAACAGTGCCACGGAGCCTGTTCTGCGGTTTAGAACCAAACAGATGGAAACCAGTGTTACTAATATTGCATTCTGAAATTCTGGGTACCTCTCAGGTCCTCTGTGGCACCCAGCTTCATTTTCCTTTTGAGCCTGGGGACACAATGAGGCTGTGGTGTGAAAGGRACTGGAAAGAGGCAGCTTGRGGGAAATCATTCAGCTTGTAACAGYAGGCAATGARCCCTTCTTGAGCCACTGCAGWGGGGAAACTCGCATCCCTCTCRYTTGTTTCACTTCAAGTGACATTTGCAGCACATTGGGCAGAATTTTCCAGATCTTCTATGCTGCAAACTGGGTTGTGAAGGCTGAAGGGTTTTTAATTTATTATAGTTTTTTTTAAGATAATAGGGACTAGGCAGGTCTAATACAGATCTCTGGGAAATCATAACAATAGCTGTCAGGGTCTCTCCAAAAGTTCCTTGAGCCACTGGGCAGTGCAGGTCACCAGCTGTGACAACTTCATGTCAAACTGTTAGACAAAGTAAACAAAGATTGCAAAATAATAGCCTCCAGCTGGAGTCAGAGTCCAACTGTCCTCTCCTACTGCTTGGATGGCAAGTGCATCTTCTGAAGGTACTCAGGAGCTGATGTGGTGTGGTCACTGTGGTTTGGATTCTCACTGAGGGAGGGTAAAGTGCTCAGATCAAGCACAGGAAAGATTTTAAGGATGGCCATCTTGCAGCTGTGTTCTTGGCCATCTTGAGGTGTGTTCCTGGGAGTTTTGTTTTCTTCTTGTGAACGGTCTAAACCCAATCAGAGCTGTGATGAGCACACTTKTCTCCATCCCTGGTCCCCCCAGATACTGTAGGTGACACTGGGGAAGGGGTTCTCAGAAATCAAACTTTTCCTTGCTGTCACTGAGGGTGGGACAAAGGGAGCTCAGGTGTGGTATGGTCCCTCTCAGGGCCACACCTTAGCCTGGTAATTCCCCAGAATCCACTCAAGATCCTGGTGCCTGGGTTCCGTGTTAAGGATCCTAAGCATTTCTGCCTTCACTTCTCTTTCCTCACCACACGCTCAGCAGAGGAAAAGCAATGTTTTGGCTGGCATGGCAGAGGCAGGGACAGTCTGCAGCTGTAAGGAGAGGTCATGATTACACAACCCAAATGTGGCAAAACCTCTGGCCAGCAGTTACTGGCAGCGCTGCGGAAGCTGCAGGGGAGCAGAGGAGACATCCCTGGGCTTCGTGTGAGATTGCACAGTGGTCAGCAGGGACCAGCAAACCAGCTTCCCCATTCTGGAGCAGGACCCTCTGCTCTGACTCACCCAGCACACATGAAGGACTGGCTGCTTGGGTGACCCTCACCTCGCCTCGTTCTGCTCTCTGTGTCTCTGCTTTGTCTGTCCTCACTCCACTCAGGTGGTGCTTGCATTGTTGAAGGAAATCTCTAGGGTTAGCCTGATGGCTTTTTTGCTGGTAGTAACTGTGAGCTGATGACAGCAAAGGTGCACAGTGAGATG